AAGCAGATTGTGTACACGATTGTGCAGCGAGACCACTGAATAAACCTCGGGAAATCATCAACGATGTTCGGAACACACGATGATGGCTCGTATGTACGTATGTCGCTGGCCGTCTAAAAAGCTCCTGCCGTGTGCACGTATGTATTATTATACGCACATATATAAATAAATCCAAAGTGAAACGTATACATGCCAGCGGACGAGCGGTATTTGTACGGCTAATCGATTTTGCGAAACGAAAATGACAACAAAGACACAGACAGCATACTGCAGCTGCGCAACACCTAACGAGTAATATAGCGCGTATAATAAACCTGCAGTGTGCGGTTATATAGCTCGATTGTCTCTCTTTGATTCGCGTTAAAATAGCCTATATAGCTTATTTTTCAACGCGCGATTTATACGTATATACCGACCGTGTTTTTGGGAAAAGCCCCCGAAACGAACGTAAAACATCAACGACAACAACGACAACTGCGAATAATAATTACGCGCACTTAAAAATAATAATCGTATAACATCGAAATATCAAACTCGAGTCTCTCTCTCGCTCTGATGGCCATTCGTAAACTGCTCGGTACACAGCCGTGTCATATCTTTTCGAATGCATCCCTTGAGGTATACGCACACTACATACGCGTGGCAGCTATAGCATCGAGGCTCATCGGGACAATTACAAATCGGTCGACTATCTCTGCCGCCGCTGCTGCTGCTGTTGCTGCAGTTGTTGCGCATTTCCGCGGGATAAACGAGCTGCAGAATTGCTCCGCTTTTCGCTTACTCCGAGTCTATATACTCGACCTTTTGCCTGACGACCGTGTCTGGTCTGTTGCTGCGTCTATGTGTGTGTGCGCGCGCGCGCGTATGGCAATTGCTAACCGATAGATGACTCCTGCGCGCTGATGCATTGCGGCCTTCGTCGCGAGCATTTTTTTATGCGCTCGACCCCCGGGGTGACACTTGTTTGTTTTTTTTTTTTTTTTTACGTACCCCCTTCTCGCGCTAACTCGAATTGCAAACTCGACCCGACGTTATACACCTATACCGATTTGTTCATTTTTCGTGGTTATTTGTTAACTGCGTGCGCCGCTCATCGCAACGACGTTCACACATTTTTTTCAGTCGAAGAACGAACTACACGTATCAAGTACTAATTTGCGCGCGCACGACCGATTCTATAATTCAAAACCTAATCGCGGCTCACCTTTTTGAAAACTAATTCGAATTTTGCAATTACATAAAATTTAATAATCATCGTTCTCGCGCGTAAGCTTCGCACAACCACGTAACGATATTATATTATTATTACCGGCCGCCAACGTCGCAACAACAACGCAGCAGCACCAGACACACACACGCACTAATATCACGAGTCCAATAACGACGTTGTCTTTTACATAAATCAAGCCTCTCTCGTGCGCGCGCGCGATTTAATGTGCGTATACATTAAAATTCATTTTGAATCATCGTAAAACTTACTCTGCTACGAGCTGCTTGTAGATTGTGTGTGTGTAGGTTACACACACACATAGGTGTAACACACAGAGCGTACGCAGGAGCATATACACGAGAATTGCTAACAGAGTCATTAAAAAATATCTTCTTATTTTCGTTCGAATACATTATATCAGCGCACACACGCGCATTAATTACGGCGGCTATATGTACACACGGACGGGCAGACGAACACGAGTAAGAGTCGAGAGGAGCGATATTTCTGGGATGGATAATTGTATTTTTAACGCTACCATTTTTCAATTACTCCGCACCAGCGGCCGCTCGGGAGTGCAGTAACAGCAGCATGGCGAGCGTTGTATAATACGCTGCAACCTCGCACGCCCATCGAGCGCATCGCACACGCACTGCGCACAACCGAGCCGAAAATGAAACACTACTGCTCGGACACTTGGATGTATATGAATGGCATGTTTAAACGTTAACGCTAGAATCGCAATTACCACCCTTTAAAAAAATCAGGCCGGTGCTCTCGAAGAGAGACGGACAGAAAGACAGAGAGGAAAGAAGCTATATTGGCATGAATGACCATTGTAGTGCGCGATGCACATCGTATACAGTGTATTTCGCAAAGGGAGAAGCTTCACGAGCGAGAGAGAGAGAGAGGCAACGCACAGTGAGATAATGAATACCATAAAACCATCTCCACCTAAATGCCTTTCATATATTCATATTACGATGGACCTTTTGCGACTTGGCTCTCGCGCGCGTTATATATTATATTGTTGTATTCGCGCGTTTGTTCACGAGTCAGTGCGTTGTGCCCATACTACTACGATCCCCCTGCGCACACGCCTATGTGTCCTTTAAACGGCAGTTAATAAATTTAGAGCCCCGCGCGTGCTCGGTGGATCTGCGTCTGAGCTATACGTCGTGCCAAGTGCGCTGTAAATGTCTCCAGAGTTGCGCGCGGAGAGGCACACACACGCACACACGCATGGCTTCGAGAGCATTCGAATTTACACCAGCAACGATAGCAACACAGACGAAACTTGGAGGCATGGATCTTTTGAGGCTTGCTGTATTGTGTGACACACTTTAAAAAAATTCACGCTTTCTACTATAATATACCCACTTCAAGAGCTGTCGCTGCGCAGAGTCTTTAAAATTTTCGTACCCATTAGCGTAATCGGCTTCCAATAGTACATATAATTTTGTATCCATTATATTTTGATTAAACAATTTAGTTAGTAAATTGTTTGTAAGTAATGTAGTAAGTAGTGTACGTTTTTTTGTTACAAGAATTATAATATAAAAAGAAATCGGTTACATCGATGAATTTTTCTATTGCTCTAACTTATATACAATTATGCTTACTTTGACGCTTGCAGATTGACCATATGAAGGTGCTCGCCATCTAATGGTGGAAATTCGAAATAGTATTACCGTATTTGAAGTTATTGAATCTATTTTTGATTTGAACGTTAATACGATTTCAAGCTTCTACCACTAGATGGCGAGCACTTTTATCTGGTAAATCTGCAAGTGGTAAACTAAAAGTAATTGTATATAAGTTAGAGCAATAGAAAAATTCATTGCAAATATTATTTCCAATATAGTCCTTTTAAGTCAAAGAAACTTTTTCCTTTGCTAAAAACTAGCCGTAAAATGTTGAGCATTTCTATCAAGAAACGGAGCTTATAATGTAATGCTCGAGGTAAACGTACAGCTCAATCATTCGACGGAAGGCAATACAACGAGCTTACGAACGAACCACCGCACGCGCACGCGTGCGCGTATTCCTTTTTAAAATTTAAAACCGATTCATTAGAAAAAAAGTAATGGACATTTTTATATTAATTGAAAAGTAGACGAATTCTTTGAATATACATCGAATAACAAATTAAATTCAAAAAGTAACTCTTTATTTTTCAAAAAAATTGTTATAAACAAAATAAACAACCAAATTATTATTGAAAAAAATAAAAAATATTTTAGAAATTCGTTGGACGATTTCAAACAAAAAGCCTCTGTCAATTCATTGGTAACGAGCTTCCTCCTAAAACACGAAAAATAGAAATTTTGGATACTTTTCAAAAAACTCAAAAATATCCATTAATTTTTTTCTAATGGACAGATTTCAACTTTTAAAAATTTTATTACTTCACTTTTCAAAGGAAAACAAAATGACATGTAATTCTGCCTTTGATATTTTATATGATGTGTTGATATAAACAATTAATGCGTTTGTAACTTTCAAACCGACAATTTTTAAGCAAATCAACCTCGAAAAGTCGGAAATAAACAATAAGGAGCTCAACATTTTCTACAAAAACCTATCAAGTTAGACCCATAAACTATAATGCGCACGAATATCAATCGCGAGATCGTATAATAATAATTTCCAAAAGTTCGTACTCGATGCTCTTTTTTTTTTTCTTATCGGTACGAATGCGATTGCTGTTGCTGCTGCTGTCGGATATATATACGCGCTCTTATCTATTTATACTTATACTCGCGCTCGCAGTTATAACAAAACCGCAGCGAGCTGAATCCAAAAACAGGAAAACCAAATTATAGTCGCGAGTCCATTTAGCGGGGTCAATTATGCATACACGCGCGTATAAACGCGCGCAACGGGGACACACGTAGACGCGCACGCATCGACGCAGTACGGGACGATCTCGAAGGAGAGAAAAAAGAAAGAAATGCGTTTCGCTGCTGCTGCTGCTGCTCCGAATTGTGCGACGCGACGCGTCGATATTATTATAATGCAGCGCGCGCGTAATATTCGAGAGCACCTCTGCTGCTCCTAAACAACTCAACGAGATAACAAAGAAGCGACGACACGCGCGCGTATAAATGCGCTGCGGTGCGGTATACATACGCGTGACAACAATAACACACGTAGCACTGTGCAGTCGTCGTCGTCGTCGACTGCCGAAAGAAGAAACTACAAAGTCACGCCGATGCAGTTTTCACGATAAGACGGCGGCGGCACTCGTACACACACACACACGCGCGTGTTGCTCTCGAGCCGTTTAAGAGCCCCGGCGTAGTCAATCTCTCGCAGCGGACATTTATGTAAAGGGAATTAATATAGCTTTTGGTCCTTCTCACCGACGTGATATATGCTTGTCTCTTCTCCTCCTCTCTTTCTCACCTACATATATGTATAAGCTCGCACTCGAGAAAGAGAGCGCATGCATATATTGTATACGCTATAACAACGCGGATATACTTTTGTATATTATTATAATCATAGCGTATATGCACGCGAAGGGCAGCTTTTTCACTCTCTCGAGGCAAATTAATAGCAGACGGATTTTATAACTTCTCAGCTATTAAAGCCGTTTTATTGGCTATTTAGCGTTGGAGAGAGAGGCTGCCGCGTACGTGCGCTTATTGAAACTTTGAATATACGATGACTTAGAAATAATATGCATAGAGTTATACAACTTGCGTAGAGAAGATGAAAGAAAAAAATTAATAAACACGACTCTTTGTCACTTGCCTTCTTTTTTATGTTGTTATTGTTGTTGCAGGGAAGAGCTTTAGCATAACGATAACGGTCTCGACGACGCCGCCGCAAGTGGCGACTTACACGAGGGCGATCAAGGTCACCGTTGATGGACCACGAGAGCCTCGATCGAAAACGAGTGAGTATTATTAATTAAAAAAAAATAATAATTAAATTTCATCGATGTACGTGCTACGCGAGATCTCGCTCGAATCGATCGTGTATAAATTTTCGCGTAATACATAAGGGCCCAGGTTATTCATTACGAACCACACACACATTTTTCACACACTTTCGTAAAAGAGCTCCCTCGTGCACAGATGCATTTATAACAACGATTAGTCTATTAGCCATGTTGCATTTATTAAGCTCATTAGAGAGACGCACGGGGGTTGGGAGGAGAGCTAAAATATGCCAGCGGGCTCGCAAGGCAATACACCTATACATGCGTCGCGATATACAACGCGCGTCTATGCATAAATAAAGCCGCGATAAGTGAAATAATGACGGCGTAAACTCGCGCGTTATATTACGCATCCCGATACGTTATCACTGCGGCACGGAATTGTCATATATAATATAGGTACGTATCTATCATCGCTTTATTGCGCGGGGGAGCGAGCTAGCAGCCCATAATACTCGCATCGAGTAAGAGAGACAGAGAGACAGAGAGACAGAGAGAGAGAGAGTAGTAGGACATAAATGATGCAGCGCACGAAAGCCACAAAAAAAAACTGCACAAAAAAAATTCCTCGTGGATGCGGGAGCCCAAAGAGCTCTCGGACGATCGCAGTATGCATCGGGGCGTTATATAGGAGTTGCGATGCTCGTATCATATACGCGTACAGGACACGCGAACGCTTTTTGGCCGGTCCTGCGAGTAGAATGGAGTTTGGAAAAAAGGGAAAAGGTTCGGGGTGCGTAAAAATGCGGCATATAGCGACGACGTATCGACCAACGCGATTCATCGTTGAGTGTGCGAGAAGAGGTCATCGTCGGGGAGGGGATGAGATAAAATATGTTATATATATCGTATTATAATGGGCTAGTTTTCAGGCTACATACTCACGTAAAGATGATGTTGATGCTGCTGCCGTTAGAAGGCTGACAGATTTAGAAAATTTGGCAACGTCCTTGCCGTTTGACATTTATTCTGCGAGATCGCGTGCTGTGATTTAGAGCGCGCCTTTCGTGAAGTTAGTTTTCTATTTGGACAAAGGAGAATTTCGCAAACTCGCGTGTGAGAAAAAGATGACAAAAATCTCAATAAGTGACTGTATAAAAACAGCAACGAGATGTTAAACATTTTTTTGATTTTTCGTAAATAAATCTGAAATTAAATAAAAACCCAAAAATATTAAAATTTAGACAAGTTACTGACTCAATGTTTTATATATTTATTCTCTTATTTATATATTTTAATGATACAAAAGGTCTACATAATATTATATAACCAGACATAAAAAAAGAATAATGTAAAGATGCTTATTGCTGTAACTAACTTTGGCGGGCAGCCGCCAAACAAACGTGACATAAATCTTGGCCCATTAGCCGATCAAGGATCATATCGCAGCAAAGAATCGGCAGCCGGTAGCGGGTCAACTTCAAGAAAGGATCCAATGCCCATGGCCGTAGAAAACTTTTCATTTGTATGTCACATATTTGCAAAATACAGGCTTTTCTTAGTCTTTCAGGGAGCATCCACAATTTATTCGCGTGTGCGAACTCGAACCAGTCCTGACGTGTGAGTCGTTTCGCTGCCTCTTTGGTTCGTAACCGGATCAGGTCGTACAAAGACAAATCTGGATCATTCTTTTTCATCAATATTATTTTCGACATCTCTATGAAGTCTTCGTCATCGTACCAAGACTTTTCAAGATCCGATATCTTCTCGAGCACTTCGATCTTGACGAATGATTTCATTATCATCAAGGCATCGCTTCGCTTCAGTTCGTATCCCCTTTTTTCAAGATGTTCGACGATGACCAGAACGTCGGACGTCATTCTCCATTTAAAATCAAGAGGGCATTCATATTCCCGTACTTTAAGTCCCTCAGCAAAGTAATTTTCAGTGGGAAACGCGAAGCTAGATAGATCAGCGCCACGATCCAATAGTATATTTACTATATTCGGCAAGCGATTTCCTACGGCTAATTGAAGCGGTGTCAAGTTTAACTCGTCCCGTGCATCAAGCTGCAACGTCAGATTTTTTTCGTCGCACATCTCGAGGAACTTCTTCAGCAAATCTTCATCCTCCGATTTATCCCATTTGTCTTCCCTCTGGCAAATAACGTGTAGTGGTGTCAAGCCCTTTAAATCGGCCACATTAGGATCAGCTCCTCTCGTCAGCAGCAATTCGACCATATTCATGCGGCAATAGGCATTGAATTGAAATACCACGTGCAACGGTGTCTTACCATAGTCGTCCCGAGCATTGACGTCTACTACCTGTTGCATTTCATCGTATATACGAAACAACACCTCCGCCAGCGAGCAGTTTTTTTCGCAAATTACGTGCAGAGGTGTCGTACCCTGCGTGATGACTAAATTTAAGCTTAAGCCTCTTCGCAAAAGCAATTCCATCAACGGACAAATAGCTTTGCAGCCCATAGGCAAGTGGAGCGGAGTATTACCCCACTTGTCCCGGGTGCCCAACTGTACTGTCTGATGTATTTTATCGCAGATCTCAAATAGCATCTCCGCTAAGGCAGGTCCACCGTAGTAATCCTGACAAATAACATGCATAAGAGTCCTACCGTTATTGTCAACCAAATTAGGATCCGCGCCTTTTCTCATCAGGAATTCGATCGTCTTCTTTTTGCCGCGATTCACAGCCAAGCGTAGAGGTGTATTACCGTCTTTATCCCATGCATCGACCTGCACTATTTGATGATTTTCATCGTTAATCTTGAAAAATAGCTGTAGCAAATAGTCATCATCGAACTGATTTTTGCTTCTGCTGCAAATAACGTGCAGAGGTGTCCGTCCGTATAGGTCAATTAAGTTCAGGTTGGCACCGTTTTTCAGCAGTAGTTCGACTACCTTCTTGCTGTCGTGCGTCATAGCTGAGTGTAGAGGTGGCAAACCTCTTTCTTGCACTACGAGGTTAGGATCCTGCCCGAGCTCAAGGAATTTTTGGACGATGTCATCAAAGTCGAATCGGCAGGCCACATGAAAATGCGATAGACCAGACTCTTTGTCGATGTAATTCACATCGAGCCTGTCGTAAATGTCGAATAGTTTCCTGGCCACGAGGGGGGCCCATCGATAAATCCGGTAATAAACTACGCGATGCACCGGTGTGGTGCGAAGAAACGATGTCTTGCGGTCCAGATCAACTTTGGGCTCATCTGTATAGCCGATGTTTATCAAAAACTCGATGAATGGAGGAACTAGGAATTCAACTCGGCCCATGGAATCGATGGACTTGGTGAGAAGCCAATCAATTTCCTCCGACTGGAAAATTTCTCGAAAATCAGGAAGTTGTCCCTTCCAATTTTCGATTAAACAGACAAGTTGACGATGAAATTCTATTCGTTCATCTTTGATCTCCCATTTTACTTTTGCTCGCAAAATTTTCAATTTTTTCAAGCTGTCCATGTCGTTATAATTATAGTCTTGCACACTGACACAATATTAAAAAAAAAAAAGTAAAATATAGGTTTTCACGAGAATCACTTGTGTCAATCGATGCGATCGTCTTCACTCTGCGGCGTCGCAACGCATACTGAAAGGTCAAGATGGCGGTGCGAGGCGCGAGCTCATAACGTCGTTACAGCGAACTTGCACAAAGCGAGAGCGAGCATGCGGAGGCAAAATATCGAGCGCAACAGAGACGAAAAGATACACGACACCGCACAGGGACGTCACAAAGGCACCAGCGCAACTGTTGCGTCAGCAAAAGCAAGACAGACTCTCGGCGTTTTATGTACAGATGTCGGCCAATTACAAAAGCGCGCGAAAGATTCTGCATCTGCGAAGTGCAGAGTAAGAGAATATACAGACAAAAAATAAAAATCCATGAAACAAAGAAAGAACTATGCGAACATTGATTGCGAATCGTATAATTATTATAAGCGCAAAAAGATTGATGATTTGGATATACTTACTTCGGATAGGAGCTAAAATTTCGCAGACTCGCGTGTAAGGGGAATATGACAAAAATCTCAATAAGTAACTGTATAAGAACAGCAGCGAGATGTAAAACTTTTTTTCATTTTTCGTAAATAAATCTGAAATGGAATAAAATCCCAAAAAAAAAATTAAAATTTAGACAAGTTACTCAATTCAATGTTTTTTTTATTTTTTATTTTATTTAGTCACATGTTACAAAGAGTCTAAATAATTAAATGTAACCAGACATACAAAAAAAAAGATATAACGATGCTATTGATGTCATATTGATGGGACCTGACAGCAATTTAGCTCTATGAAAGGTTCCACGGCCTACGGCTGGAAAAATATTCTAGTTGAGTATTTCCTTCTGGCTTAGCCAATTTAGGATCAGCGCCCCTTCTCAGCAGGAATTCAACCTTCTCTTTGGTGCCGTAATTCGTAGCCATGTATAGCGGTGTATGCCCATTGCCGTCCAGTGCATCGAGCTGTACCGTTTGGTGTTTTTCATCGTTAATCTTGAAAAATAGCTCTAGCAAACTGTTATCATCGACATCATCCGTTCTGCTGCAAATAACGTGCAGAGGTGCCCGTCCGTGTATATCAGCCAAATTAGGGTTGGCCCCGTTTCTCAGCAGCAGTTCGACTACTTTCTTGCTGTTGTGCGTCACAGCCGAGTGTAGCGGTGGCAAACCTCTCTTTTGCACTACGAAGTTAGGATCCTGGCCGAGCTCGAGGAATTTTTGGACGATGTCATCAAAGTCGAATCGGCAGGCGACATGAAAATGTGTTAAACCGGTCTCCTCGTCGATGTAATTCACGTCGAACCTGTTGTAAATCTTAAATAGTTCCCGGACTACGGGAGTGGCCCACGAAAAAATTCGGTAAGAAGCCTCGCGATGCACCGCTGTGGTTCGCAGAAGCAATGGCTTGCCATCTTGACCAACTGTGGGCTCGTCTTTGTATCCGGTGTCGATTAAAAACTGGAAGAATGGAGCTAGGCCAAAAATGTTGTCTTTCGACTTG